GGCTCGCCAGCGCCCCTTTCTTCCTTTTCTACCGGGCGGTTTCGCCCGTACATTTGACGCTCCCCGCTTTTTGCCGGGCGGTTTCGCCCGTGCTCCTAACACCCGCTTTCCTCAACAACCCCCGCCACTGGGAGGAAGTTACGTAACATCGGGGTTAAAGGCGATTAGGATTAATTAGTTGGAGGTAAATTAATTACAATCTTAAAAAGGTAATTAGCTTGGATCGTTACGCTTACTACTAATTACTTTTAACCGTTAGCAATTTTTGGAACGGTAATATTTAAAGCCAAATGGCCTGAATATAAAAACAAAAAGTTTTTTATTGTTTCATGTAATTTTTGATAAATGCATTAACATTAACTAATTTAAATTAGCTTTTAAGTAACTTTTAAAGCAAGCATTTAAACCGCACCCAAAATATTTTGTAAATCCTTTTAATTTGTTAAATTACGTGTTATTGCTTAGTATTTTTTAATGCTTTACTTTAAAAGCAAAAATTTAATTGTAACATTTTATTTAATTTTGTTTAGCATTTAACCGGTACCGAATAATAGCAATACCAGCTCCATAAACTCCATTGGAATCGCGGGACGGCCGCCATCGCGGACGAGCCTCGCATGGTAGCACATCTCCTTGCTAATGAGACGCTTCATGCTCGCATCGTACGGTGGATGCGCCGAGTGCCGTTTGTTGGTCAGCTGGCCGGTGAGCAGCATTACGGCATGGCTGGCATCGAGAGGTACCGACGTGGGATCCACTTCCGTCATTGCTTTCCTGTGAGAACCGCCAACACCATGAAGTTTGACCTTGCCAAAACGATGGGAAATGCGGCTTACATGAGTCGGGCTCCGAGGTCTTCGTTGGAGGCCGCAGCGTCCCAGTCGTCGAAACCATTCCGCGGTTCAAGATGAAAACCATCGGGGCCATGATGCTGCCGTAGCCACCCCACAAGCCCTGGGTGGGAGTACTCGAGGAGTCTTTTGCAGGAAATTTTCATATTGGAGATCGTGGCTGGGGAACGGATTTTTTTTTGTCGCTCGATCTGCTTCTGCTCTACGCAATGTGTGCTCAAGTCTGCAGATTGGGCCTACAAGAATTAGAAGGGAATAGATATAGCGGCGAGCGCGCGAAGGTCAGCCGCGCCGCATTTATATGGTCTATGTTTTCCGACGTCACTTGTCAGGACAAAGAGAGAAAACCGACGCATGCGGGCGAGCGAGGGTTCAATGTCGCAAAGGCAATCCCGCGCTGAGTGAGTCTGCGACAAAGAGATACATTCACCTGAATGGAAAACGCTCAATATTCCATCGTTGTGCACGGCTCATTCCTGTAACTGGAAAAAGCCGAACATCTCCCCAACCTCACGTCTCAGGTGGGCTCATGGCCAGCTCGCGGATAAGCGTCTTGAACGCAGCCACGAACGGCTCGAGCGACTTGACCTTGTCCTCGTCGCCAAGAATGGTCTTGACCGCGGCAACGTCCTCCAGCATGGCCTCGACACGAGTTGTGCCGTCAAGGACCTGCATGATGCCAAGCGAGAGAATGAGCAGGTAGAGGGCGACCTCCTTGTCGACCTCGAGCTCGCGTGCAGTCGAATCGACGACGTCGGAGCCGAGGAGCTCGGGGTTGTGGGCGAGGATATAAAAGGCCTGGTACAGGATGCCGTGGGCCTCGCAGAAGCCCCTGACGTCGTGGTCGTAGCCGGTCGGCCTGTAGAAGCGGTTCTGCACAATGACGGGCTTGACGGTGGCCGCTTTGTAGATGGCCTCGAGCTGCTGAAGGCCCATATTGGAGACGCCGAGACGGTCGACCTTTTCGGGCACAAAGGTCTCGAGCACTTTCCAGGCTCGGACGTTGTCCTCGTCGTCCGGGTACGGGGCGTGGAGCAGAAGCGCGTCAAGCCGTTTAACGCGCAAATGTTCGAAGGTAAGCCCCACAGACTCCCTCACTTGCGCTTCGATGTCCTGATCCGGGTTGAAGGGGATCTTGTCCTTGTCGTGCGCCCAGAGTGGCGTGAACTTGGACTGTATCTATTGTGTTGTGACACAATTTCCGGTCAGCCAGCGGGGCAGTAAGGCATAAAGCTAAACATATCCTTCCGTAGGCCTTGCCGAAACACATTGTACATACGAAAACATCATTCCTCTCGATGCCGGATTCAAGGCCTGCGGCAATCCCATCGCCAGCGAGGGGCTCGTTGTAGGCAGTGGGGTAATTCGCCGTGTCCACCCCCCGGAACCCGCTCTTTAGCGCCTGCTCAGTAAGCTTTGCAGTCCTGTCCTCCTTGTAAGCCGTCCCGTAGAGCAGGAAGGGAATTTGACCGCTTCCTGGCCCAGGAACATTTACCCTTGGAAGTAAAGCCATTGTGTTCGGCGTCTTTTTGGCGATGGCAAAACTGATGAGCAACAAACATCAATTGATTTACTGCTACCTGTCTCAGTACTAAGTTGGATAGGAGCTCATTTTGATCCTAGTTTGGCCTGTGCCGTGCACGTGCCACAATGGCAAGCCGGATGGCGGGGGAGGCTTCGAGGTAGCGGTACAAAGAAGTTCAGCAGGTATCCGTCGGCACTACACCCAAACCCAAGGCCAGAGAGGGCTGCATGCAGGTTGCAGAAGATGTGTTGCACAAGGTGTCACCTGCCTCTGAAGGATTGGATGGCAATGGTGGCCACCAGGCAAACACCGGAAAGAATTGATTAAATGCAAGCCAGTAACATTCATCGAGGCGACCCAACCACCCAACCATTCCCGCCCATCACACGGAAAGCCCGGGCCTAAATCGTCCAGCCGTGCCACCTCCATGTGTGTATGACAGACGCTGCAGCTACGAACGATTTGACTGGATCCTGGCGAGCCACTGCCTGCCCGGCCTGATGCACGCAGAAACCGGGCGTTTCGTCACAAATCGAGGCCCCTTTCAGGGTCTTCGCCATTGCCCACCCTTCCCGAACCACATCGTTTGTCAAATTCCTTCCAGCATCTCCGCGTCCGCCTCAGCCTGAATATGCACAGTTATGCGATGTTCGGGGATCCGTTGGAGCAGTGGTTTGATCATGTCAAGTCGTGAAATCACAAGCGACTATTGAAGATTTCCAATCCATTTTAGTTCGCAATCAATCCTATTCCACATCCACCAATTTCCCAAACATCAACCACCGCCGTGTCGGCCATGCGGAGAAACTCGAAGTTTGTGGCATTGGCTAGAGGGCTTTTTGAAGAATTGGTTTAGTGAAGAAACGGAATGGGAAGAGGGTCAATTGGAAAATCCCACCTGAGGACCTTTTCCTTCAGCCTATGTTAGTTACGGCTCGGGTTCGATTGGAGCAGGTCTGAGGCTTCCCGTCTCCCTCTCCTGCAGTCTTTGTGTCGAGTTCCTGGGCACCGAACCACTCCACCCACGGCTGGCGCTGGCCGTTCTGCGTGGGCGGAGCAGAGGCTGCTGCATTTGGAGCAGAGTCCGTGGCCGGAGGATTCTGTTGTTTGTTGGTGTCCATTGTTAAGAAGGAGTCGAAGTAAGCTGGCAAGATCAGTTCGAATGCTGCTCCAAGTCTTTGGTGCATTGCGCCTTGGAAAGCATTCATTCGTGAAGTTCGACTTTAGGGCATGGGGAGGAATGGCGTTTATATCAATTATTCCTGTGCCCAAATCACACCGTTGGGCTTTAATCCTACCTCTCTATTCCCCCACTCCCCCTCGGTTATTGCCACACGGGGGACCACCTTCCGGGCAACCTTCGGGGACCCCGGGACCTCCAAAAGCAGTGCAGGAAAGGATCGGCGTTGCTGCCTACCTCCTAAAGGCCGAAGGGTGCATGGAATGGTCTAGGTTAGATAGAATGGGTCGAGGGTTGTATGGAATCGGTAAATACGTACCCTCCTACGGACCAGAAGCCGATACATATGGTGGACGAAACCCTCACTGCCAAAAAAAACTTAGGTCGGACCGAGAGTCAATCCATCTTCCTTTAAGCTTCCAGCTTTCCCCAAAAATGCCCGCGGAAGTATCCGTGTCACTGGAGTTCATCAAGCGTCTAGAGCTATACGAACGTGAAAAGCCATACTGGCTTTTTGTCGGCAAGCCCGACCATCTGGACGACAGCAAGCTTACCAATGTCGAACTGGAAGTCGTCCCAGGAATTCCTGCCCACGATGTCAGGAATGATGGTCACAGCTATACATTGGACGAGCACGGCTTTCAATTTGTAACACACCAGCAGTCATTTTCTGACTTCGACGACGAGGAGGCCATACGGACACACTACCTTCCCCAAGTCGAGGAGGTTATCCGCCAGAATGTCCCTTACGCCAAAAGGGTTCTGCTTTTCGATTGGAGGGTGAGTGGGTTGACATCCCTGATAAACGCGATTCTCCGACGGCGAAGACGCTGATGCCAGAGGATGTGCTAGCTGAGGCGACAAATGAGCGAGGAAGAGGGCAACGCCTTGCTTTCGGCGAACCAGATCCAGCAGCGGTCGCAAATCCTGGCTCCATCCCAGACAGTCCACACGGGTAAGGGCCCCGTAAACACAGCCAGGGAGACTCGAGGGAATCTTGCTAACACCAGACACGTAGACGTGACCGAGTTCAGTCTACTCAAAAGGGTGAAAGTCGAACTCCCGGAAGAGGCTGATGAACTCGTAAAGGGCAGGGTTCAGATGGTCAAGTAGGCTATGGCCGGCCCAGAAATGCCTTCGCCTTTGACGGTATATCTTATCACCCAACTAACTGCAGACTGCCCATAAATAGTTTCTGGCGGCCCATCAGGCATCCAGCCCATAACTGGCCCCTATTCGTCTGCGACGGCAGGAGTGTGGGAACGGGGTCGCTGGTGGCCGTGGACCAGATTACCCGCAGCTTCGTCGGGGATATCTACTATGCTCACCATGACCCCGCATTCCAATGGTACTACATGAGCTCCATGGGGCTGGACGAAGGTGTCCTGTTCAAGAGCTGGGATACAGGTACAACAGCACCTTCCAAAGGCAAGTGAGCCCCTAATACACAGCTCCCGGAATCCCGTGCAACACAAAGACCTCGCTAATTATCTATGCCGCGTGCACCAGTGTGCCTTCACTCATCCTCGGCTCTGCCAGAGCACGCTATTCCGGATTCTCAGCACCCCCGGTTCAGCATAGAAGCCAGAGCGGTCGTCTTTTCTGATCTGTGACACAGCTGTATCGACTGAGAGGTGGATCCTGAGTCCTTGTAGTTTTTTCCTCCTTCCTTTACCTGTTGTAGTAGCAAACTAGTGAATCGTAGTCCTTCATCGTGTTCTTTCCTGCCCGAGATTGTCCATCTACCCGCGCACGAGTTTCCTTTGCATCAGTAATGGAGTTTAGTGCACCGACAGAATCTTGGAGATCGTCGAGTATCAGAGACCTCCTGAAATACGATCTCGCCAAGCGATCCTCCGCACCAGGGAAATCGCTGAAAATCCCGATGGCAAGATCGATATTTCGTCTTCGTCCATACGTCGGTTAGCAAGCGTGTGTCTTGGAAAAACTAGACTTGTGAAGCAGCAGCAGCCCTGTTGCAGGAGCCCCAACGCAGGATGCAGACAAGGAGTGCTGAGGGAGGGGGCTGGGAAGAGGTCGTATCCACAAACCTTGCATCTTCAAGCCGTCCTAGCTTCTGATACACGCAGCTGAGCCCGTAGTGGCTGACAGCAACATCATGGCTGGATGCTCCCATGAATTCTTCGCGGCTTTTGTGAGTATCCTCGTGGGCCTTTAGCCCCTCGTCGAGCGACCCGGTGGCGACTAGCAGATCAGCATATGTGAAGCGGAATTGGTTGCTCCGGTAGTCATTTGCGCCATTATGGCCCTCGGCCAGCTCCAATGCCCGTTTCACATGAGCTAAAGCCTCCGAAGTCAGCCCTTGCTCCATATACACCCGGCCGATGTTGTAATGGCTGATGGCAAAGTCGTAGGGCAGTGTTTTCTCGGTGCCAAGGGACTCTTTGGCGCCCATGCTTGACTTGAACAACTCGAGGGCTTCGTCGTACTTCTCGACGATCAGAGCTCCAACCCCTGTGTTGTTGTAGGCATTAGCGAGCTGCCGATGGTCATCCCGACTTAGGGGAAGCATCGGCGTTTCGGAGTAGCGCTTTCTGACATCCAAGGCTCTCTTGAAAAAGTCGGGAGCCTCCTGGCGCGTTTCGCGGGCCCCCATCTTCAACGCCCCCACGACTGTGAGGATATCGGCGCACAATGGGCTCGACTCAAAGTTGCCTGCCTCGATGCAAACGTCAAGGGCGTGGGACGCCACACTTGAAGCCTCTGCCGAGCCCCGCTCCCACATGTAGTAAGCGCAGTTCACCAGGACCTCGACGTAGCTGTCTGGAATAGTCTCCCCTGGCTTTCTGAGTAGCACAAACTCATCTCTTAAGCTGAGGATGTGTGGGATCCACAGCGCGCATTCTGTCCATTTTTTTGACATGGTTCCACCGTCAGGTGGCCTCTGGGGGAACGCCTGGTTGAGAAGACAGGCGGCGTCCTCGAAGGCGTAGGCTCGAAGGGGGGGGACTTTAAGGTCGAGAAATTGAAGCACACGCCGCTTGATCACTCGGTGGATGCGTATCATGCTGCCTGATGGTCCTATGAGATGCGAAACCAGGCTGTGCCTCGCCAGGGTGCGGATCGAATCGTTCCATTCCATGAAGTCTCGCAAGTGCTGTATACGCGGGACGGTCGCGCAGCCCTGAATGATCAGGACCTCCTGTATGTTGTCTGTCTGAAAGAAGGCGAGGACACCAAGGAGATGAAGGGCTTGTCCCTTCAGGAGACCAATGGACAGGTCGCAGCACTTGGCGAGGGTGTCGGAATACCGCAAGGATTTGATGCTGTCCACGTCTGAGTATAGCTTCTCTGAGTGTTCCTTCAGTGCCTGGAGGAACTGGTCGACGTCACAACCTGTCTGTCGAAGGTAGCTGCCCATTTGACAGAGCGCCAGGGGCATCCTGCCAACCTCATTCGCGACGCTGCTGGCGAGCGGCGATTTGCTGATGCGGGGATCGATCTTGCCAAGGATATCAGCCGCCTCGGTTTCCTTGAGGCCATTGAGCTCGAGCATCAGGCTGCCGCCGGCAAGAAGTTGGGCGATTTCCCTGTCTCGTGTCGTAACGATAACGATGCCATTGCCCGAATGGGGCCAGTATTTGAGCACGGCGTCTGCGTCGTTGACGTTGTCGAAAACAAGAAGCCACGGCTCGTCTATCTCACAACAGAATCCAAAGTCAGTCAGTCAGTCAAGTGATATGGACCTGTGGGAAGAGAAGCCCCTGAAAAAAAATACCCACCTGTTCCCGAGAGCCAGTCCTTCGCAGCTTGTATGCTCCATTCGAGGTCTTTTCCGGCAACCTGGTCTGTGCCAAGAATCCTCGCAATCTGCCCAAAGTCCTGCTGAAGCACCGTGTTGACTTCAGATCGAATCCAAAAAACTGCCCTGAAAGAGGACCGCAACTGAAAGGTGTACTCCAAGGCCAGCTGGCTCTTGCCCATGCCACCAATGCCGTGGATCGCGACCCTTTTCAGTCTTTTGGTGCCAGGGGGGGCGGCATGGAGGACATGGCTTCGTATCATGGTCAGCTCCTCGTCACGCCCCACAAAATGAGGGTTCTGATCCTCATGTAGAAGTTCCGATGGCTTGATCAGACGAGCAACGTTGAAGGCCGCGGGGATGGCATCGATCACATCCTGGTGACGTTTCTCCGCCGCAGATTCTCGGACAAACGCGACCTGAATGTTGGCAGCCCTAACTTCGTTCTCCAGTTCCTGCTTTCCCTCCTTGAGCTGTGCGAGGGCATTTTCGAATCGCTTATCCATGGACCTCCAGGTCACGATGACGACAAGGACTAGAAAAGGTCAGTCAAGGGGAGAGAGTACGCTCACAAAAGCGAGGCATAAATGGGGAACTTACAGGCGAGCTTGGATCTGAAGAACTTGAATGATTCGACGCAGAACAGGACAAATATTTGATAAACATCCACCAACCGAAGCTGCAGTCGGTCGCTCGTCGGGAAAAGACGGGCGTACTCTTCGAAGCGTGGCATGCACTTGGCCATGTCGGCGAGCATGAGTGCAATACGCTGCGCGCAGTTTGCGAACTTGGACGCGACCTGCAGGTCGCGAGTAGCCTGATGAGGACATGCTTTGGAGGATTTGCTGGTGATTATAATTAATAGATGCTTTTACTTACCGTTAAAACGGCCTGGACACCGCCCCAGACGAGGCATGCGACCTCGGGGTTGCTTTGACAGCACGTGGAAATGGCCTGGTCAAATGTTTGGAGGATGTCCAGGCAGGGTCCAAGGATGTTCTTTAGGAGCTTCCACTTCTTCGAGAACCTGTTTTTTTCCGTGGTGAGCTCCCTGAAGCAATCGTCGTAGCTCCTCGTGCGCAAGAATTCGAGATAGTCGGTATCGCCAAGTTGCTGTCGAGCCTTGGACACGGCAGCCTGCCAGGCTATTTGGGCTCTATTTGGTGCGGTTAAATATGTTAAAATGATTAGGTACAGTGCCCTGATAAAATTGTAGTGGACAATGGTACTTGCTTTTCTTGGTTTGATGTCGGGATTTGAACAACAGCAGTCCCGACGGCCTGACTTGATGTGCCCGAAGCAGCCTGCTGGTTGGGCGGGATCGTTGCGGTCCTGGCCATGGCATGTGCCCGTGTCGCGAATGAGCCGGGTTGCGGAGGGTAACCCGATATCGTAGATGTTAAAGATATGCGGACAAAAAAAGCATCGATGGTCCATATATCGTCCATATATCGTTTATATATTGTTCGTGATGGTCCGTGTATGGTTTACCTCCTAAAGGCCACCCGTGATTTATAACAAAAAAAAGGGGCCATCCGTAAGTATGAGAAAAGAAAAAGAAAAAAGAGAATCTTTACTGTTCACGCATTTCGGGGGTGTTATTTTATTTTTTATAATTTCTTTTGGGGAGGCTGGCTAGGCGGTTTCACTGTGGCAGCCCTTGGCTCCCGGTCATATCAACTGGGCAGTCCTCCATGCCCGTCGGGCGCCTACATTCATGCCTGCCAAGGGTGGCGTCTTCCTGGTGGCTGTTTTAGCGCCACACTCCGCCCCAAAAGCACCAAGGAAGACTTGGGTGAGTAATTGTATCTGTACATCCAGAATTTGCGTCGCACGACCTCACGTGCATCCGCACCCC